TTATCATTATTATTATCATTATTATCATCGTTATTATCATTATTATTATCATTATTATTATCATTATTATTATTATCATTATTATTATCATTATTATCATCGTTATTATCATCATTATTATCATTAATATTATCATAATCATTATTATTATTATCATCATTATTATTATTATTATTATCATAATTATTATTATTATCATTATTATCACCATTATTATTATTATTATTATTATCATTATTATCATCATCATTATCATCATTATTATTATTATCATTATTATTATCATTATTATTATTATCATCATCATTATTATTATCATTATTTTTATTATTATTATCATCATTATTATTATTATCATTATTATCACCATTATTATTATTATTATCATTATTATCATCATTATTATTATTATTATTATTATTATTATTATTTATTATTATTATTATTATCATCATCATTATTATTATCATTATTTTTATTATTATTATCATTATTATTATTATTATCATTATTATTATTATTATTATTATCATCATTATTATTATCATTATTACTATCATTAATATTATCATTATTATTATTATTATCATTATTATTATTATTATTATTATCATTATTATTATCATTATTATTATTATCATCATTATTATTATCATTATTATTATCATTATTACTATCATTAATATTATCATTATTATTATCATTATTATTATTATCATTATTATTATCATTATTATTATTATTATCATTATTATCATTATTATTATCATTATTATTATTATCATTATTATTATCATTATTATCATCATTATTATTATTATCATCATTATTATTATTATCATTATTATCATTATTATTATCATCATTATTATTATCATTATTATTATCATTATTATCATTATTATTATCATCATTATTATTATCATTATTATTATCATTATTATTATTATTATTATCACCATTATTATTATCATCATTATTATTATTATTATTATCACCATTATTATTATTATTATTATTATTATCATTATTATTATTATTATTTCCCTTAATATGATCAGCTCAGTTTAGATCTGAACTCCAGGCAGATACAAATGAACACATTATTAATACATCATTGGGCAGCACAGGGGCTAAATGGTTAGCACTTCCGCCTGGCAGTACTCGGGTCGTTGGTTTGAATCCCAACCACAGCATCACCTGCCTGGAGTTTGCATGTTCTCCCTGTGCCTGTGTGGGTTTCCTCCGGGTACTCCGGTTTCCTCCCACACTCCAAAGACATGCTGGTAGGTTAATTGGATCCTATATAAATTGTCCCTAGTATGTGTATGTATGAATGTGAGTTAGGGACCTTAGATTGTACGCTCCTTGAGGGTTAGGGACTGATGTGAATGTACAATATATATGTTAAGCATAGTGTAAATTGATGGCGCTATATAAGTACCTGAAATAAATAATTAAATATATACCTGAATGTGACCTGGTGTCAGCCACATGCAGTTCCTGTACAGCAAAGCTCAGACTTGGAGAGGGAAAGCAGCACAAGGAGTCAATTCATAAAACATCAAAACAGCACAAATATGTAAAAATTAATAAATACACACTGCAATAAAAAATAATAAGTCCCACTCCAAATCAATAGTGAAAAAAAAATAAAATACGTAAAAATAAATAATATTCTTGAAAGTCCTTTTCCTTAAAAAACGTTTGACCCGTCTTTCCACCGAAATAGTGCTCAAATACTACACCACACTCACCAGATAATGGTTAAAAAAACGCCTTTTAGGTGAGTGCGGTGTAGTATTTGAGCACTATTTCGGTGGAAAGACGGGTCAAACGTTTTTTGGGGAAAAGGACTTTCAAGAATATTATTTATTTTTACGTATTTTATTTTTTTTTCACTATTGATTTGGAGTGGGACTTATTATTTTTTATTGCAGTGTGTATTTATTAATTTTTACATATTTGTGCTGTTTTATGAATTTACTCCTTGTGCTGCTTTTCCCTCTCCAAGTCTTAGCTCTGCTGTACAGGAACTGCAAGAGGCTGACACCAGGTCACATTCAGGTATATATTTAATGATGTATTAATAATTACAAAGTTACAAATTACAAATGGTCTCCTCCCATATTTCTGTGTCAGCAGTGGGGTCCTCCTGGGTCTCCTCCCATATTTCTGTGTCAGCAGTGGGGTCCTCCTGGGTCTCCTCCCATATTTCTGTGTCAGCGGTGGGGTCCTCCTGGGTCTCCCACCATATTTCTGTGTCAGCAGTGGGGTCCTCCTGAGGCTCCTCCCATATTTCTGTGTCAGCGGTGGGGTCCTCCTGGGTCTCCTCCCATATTTCTGTGTCAGCGGTTGGGTCCTCCTGGGTCTCCTACCATATTTCTGTGTCAGCGGTGGGGTCCTCCTGGGTCTCCTACCATATCTCTGTGTCAGCAGTGGGGTCCTCCTGGTTCTCCCACCATATTTCTGTCAGCGGTGGGGTCCTCCTGGGTCTCCTACCATATTTCTGTGTCAGCGGTGGGGTCCTCCTGGATCTCCCACCATATTTATGTGTCAGCAGTGGGGTCCTCCTGGGTCTCCTCCCATATTTCTGTGTTGGCAGTGGGGTCCTCCTGGGTCTCCTACCATATTTTTGTGTCAGCAGTGGGGTCCTCCTGGGTCTCCTACCATATTTCTGTGTCAGCAGTGGGGTCCTCCTGGGTCTCCTCTCATTTCTGTGTCAGCAGTGGGGTCCTCCTGGGTCTCCTACCATATTTCTGTGTCAGCAGTGGGGTCCTCCTGGGTCTCCTACCATATTTCTGTGTCAGCAGTGGGGTCCTCCTGGGTCTCCTCTCATTTCTGTGTCAGCAGTGGGGTCCTCCTCGGTCTCCTCCCATATTTCTGTGCCAGCAGTGGGGTCCTCCTGGGTCTCCTACCATATTTCTGTGTCAGCAGTGGGGTCCTCCTGGGTCTCCTACCATATTTCTGTGTCAGCGGTGGGGTCCTCCTGGGTCTCCTACCATATTTCTGTGTCAGCAGTGGGGTCCTCCTGTGTCTCCTACCATATTTCTGTGTCAACAGTGGGGTCCTCCTGGGTCTCCTACCATATTTCTGTGTCAGCAGTGGGGTCCTCCTGGGTCTCCTACCATATTTCTGTGTCAGCAGTGGGGTCCTCCTGGGTCTCCTACCATATTTCTGTGTCAGCAGTGGGGTCCTCCTGGGTCTCCTACCATATTTCTGTGTCAGCAGTGGGGTCCTCCTGGGTCTCCTACCATATTTCTGTGTCAGCAGTGGGGTCCTCCTGGGTCTCCTCCCATATTTCTGTGCCAGCGGTGGGGTCCTCCTGGGTCTCCTACCATATCTCTGTGTCAGCAGTGGGGTCCTCCTGGTTCTCCCACCATATTTCTGTCAGCGGTGGGGTCCTCCTGGGTCTCCCACCATATTTCTGTGTCAGCAATGGGGTCCTCCTGGGTCTCCTACCATATTTCTGTGTCAGCAATGGGGTCCTCCTGGGTCTCCTACCATATTTTTCTGTGTCAGCGGTGGGTCCTCCTGGATCTCCCACCATATTTATGTGTCAGCAGTGGGGTCCTCCTAGATCTTCCACCATATTTATGTGTCAGCAGTGGGGTCCTCCTGGGTCTCCTCCCATATTTCTGTGTTGGCAGTGGGGTCATCCTGGGTCTCCTACCATATTTCTGTGTCAGCAGTGGGGTCCTCCTGGGTCTCCTCCCATATTTCTGTGTCAGCAGTGGGGTCCTCCTCGGTCTCCTCCCATATTTCTGTGCCAGCAGTGGGGTCCTCCTGGGTCTCCTACCATATTTCTGTGTCAGCAGTGGGGTCCTCCTGGGTCTCTTCTCATATTTCTGTGTCAGCAGTGGGGTCCTCCTGGGTCTCCTCCCATATTTCTGTGTCAACAGTGGGGTCCTCCTGGGTCTCCCACCATATTTCTGTGTCAGCAGTGGGGTCCTCCTGGGTCTCCCACCATATATCTGTGTCAGCAGTGGGGTCCTCCTGGGTCTCCTACCATAGTGCCCCTTCTCATTTAGATGGTGATGTATAGTCCGAGCGGACACAGTTGTACCCGGTGCCTGAAAGTCAGAAGAATTTGTCTAGAAGTTGATCGATGTTCTTTATCCACCATTCCAACAATCCTTGGTTGCAATCTTTGATCAATTTTCCTCTTTCATCCACATCCAGGGAGATCAGCTACAGTGCCACAGGCTGTAAACCTCCTGACAATGTTACGCACAGTGGACGCAGGAACATGAAGATCTCTGGAGATGGACTAGTAACCTTGAGATGGTCCATGCTTTTCCGCCATTTTTGTTCTCCAATCCTCAGACAATTTGCTGCTCTTCCTCTCCTCCATGCTCCATGTGGCACACAGAGACACCCAACAGGAAGGTGGAGGCCAGGTGTCACCATTGTCCCCGGTTGTCGGTGGGATTTCTATGTTGTCATCACCTGGTCACGGATACGGGGGAGATTAATGACAAATTACAGGAACATCACAGACTTGGAATACAATTATTTCTTACAAATTTTCAGAAGGCGCCAATAATTTTGTCCGCTCCATTTTTGGGGTGTTGCGTGGAATGCAATTTAGGGTTCTTTCAGATGGAGCGGACCCATTTAGCGGGATCTCTCCCCGGTTCCCCGCTGAGCAAGCGCATGTCCGTTCCGCTGCTGCATAGAAGACACAGATCTGCTCGCTCTCCTCAATGGGCGGGAAAACAGACGGACGGAAGGGGGACTGGATCCCCATCTGTCCCTTTTTGGGGAATCGGATGTCGGCGGGTGTAAACACATTTTCCTTTACACCCGCAGCTCCATAGAGGAGAATGGAGGTTCCAATCGGATCCGCCTGAAAAACTGGCAGGCGGACCCGATCGGAACGTCCACGTGAAAGAGGTCTGCCAAAAAGGGATGGATGGGGATCCAATTCCCCTTCCGTCCGTCGGATCGGGTCGGATGAAAACGGACAGGTGGTCCGTTTTCACCCGACTGCCCACTGAGGAGAGCGAGCTGCTCTGTGTCCGCTCTGCAGCAGCGGAGCGGACACAGACCTGTCCTCCGCTTGCTCAGCGGGGATCAGCGGAGATAATCCCCCCCCTGAGCAAGCGGATCCGCTAAAGGGGTCCATTCCGTGTCAGAGGACCCTTAGCCCTTTCAGTCCAGGAGAGGAGCCGGTACACCTGTGCAAGACTGAAGGGGAGGAGCCGGTACACCTGTGCAAGACTGAAGGGGAGGAGCCGGTACACCTGTGCAAGACTGAAGGGGAGGAGCCGGTACACCTGTGCAAGACTGAAGGGGAGGAGCCGCTACACCTGTGCAAGACTGAGGGGAGGAGCCGGTACACCTGTGCAAGACTGAAGGGGAGGAGCCGGTACACCTGTGCAAGACTGAAGGGGAGGAGCCGCTACACCTGTGCAAGACTGAGGGGAGGAGCCGGTACACCTGTGCAAGACTGAAGGGGAGGAGCCGGTACACCTGTGCAAGACTGAAGGCAGGGGCGTCCCTAGGGTTGGTGCGATAACACTTGGTGACACCCCCTCCGACGATCCCCGCAGAATGGATCAGATCTGCGGGTTGAGCATAATGGATCGGACTCCGATCCATTATCCTCCCCAGTCCGCAGATCCGATCCATCCTGTGGGGATCGTTGGCTTTCTTTACAATTTACCTTTTCGTGGAGCGGGTCCGGTGTCACCCCGTATAGGTTGCATGCCGACGATCCCCGCAGGATGGATCGGATCTGCGGATTGAGCATAATGGATCGGACTCCGATCCATTATGCTCCCCAGTCTGCAGATCCGATCCATCCTGCGGGGATCGGTGGCTTTCTTTACAACTTACCTTTTCATAGAGCGGGTCCGGTGTCACCCCGTATAGGTTGCATGTCGATGATCCCTGCTGGATGGTTCGGATCTGCGGATTGAGCATAATGGATCGGACTTCGATCCATTATGCTCCCCAATCTGCAGATCCCATCCATCCTGCAGGGATCATTGGCATGCAACCAGAGGCGGACTGACAACTCATGGGGCCCCCGGGCAATAGGAGATCATGGGGCCCCTGTGTCCTTGCCCACACCCAAAAAAAGCCTATGAAAAAGCCAATGAAAGGTACTAGGGGCATCTCATGGGGCCCCCTACTGACCCTGGGCCCTCGGGCAGTGCCCGAGTGCTCGAATGGTCAGTCCGCCCCTGCATGCAACCTATATGGGGTGACACCGGACCAGGGGCGGACTGACAACTCATGGGGCCCCCGGGCAATAGGGGATCATGGGGCCCCTGTGTCCTTGCTCAAACTCAAAAAAGCCTATGAAAAAGGTACCAGGGGCATCTCATGGGGCCCCCTACTGACCCCAGGCCCTCGAGCGGTGCCCGAGTTTCCAAATGGTCAGTCCACCCTATGCACCGGACCCGCTCCATGAAAAGGTAAGTTGTAAAGAAAGCCGACGATCCCCGCAGGATGGATCCGAGGATGGATCGTCGGCCTGCTTTACAACTTACCTTTTCGTGGAGCGGGTCCAGTGTCACCCCGTGCGGTAGGTGTCACCCGGCGCGGCGCGCACACCCCCCCCCGCACCTGCCTCGGGACGCCACTGACTGAAGGGACAGCCGGAGTGGAATCCCTCTGAATTTTACTGGAATTCCGGAAAGCGTCGATTATTCATCGATTCTTTTGTGCGGCGCCTCGGAGCGTCGGATCCGATCGATGTGTATTTTGCGGCGATCGATGATTCGGACCCGACTTATCTCTCATGTTTACGGAGTTTCTGTTGGCGTTTTATCGCCGAGCTCATGTTTTGACCCGCCTTGAAGTTTATTTGACAGCTTTCAGGAATGTGTTGAAGATGAGAGGGAGGAGAAAGAGAAGAAAAATCCCCGGAGCAGCTGGCTGCGAGCGATCGGCTCGCCGGCCGCGTCCGAGGTGTCTTATTAAAGGATTACCCCGTCAAGGCGGAGCAGGTTAGACAAACTGTGCAGAGTCAATACGCACAGCACCTGAGCAAAGTACGGCGGATTCAAGGTTTTTTTTTTTTCTTCGATGATGGGCGTCGCCCGCTGTTCTTATGCTTTCCAAAAATAACCCGCTGAAAACGAGTCCCCGGGGCCCGAAGAAATAGCTGAGGAGGAGATCCACCCGCTCCCCGTGTGATGCAGCTAACGCCCAACTTACAGCAGAGCTGACGAAGACATCAGCCGCCCTCGGGGGGTCAATATTCTGGTTCATCGCGGTGACCGAAGAAAAAAAAAAAAAAACTCCTCCTTCTGCGCCAAGGAGAATCGTCCAATGGTTGGCCCTGAGAACCGGCAAAGGATGACCTCATCGAGAGCTCATTCACACGGACATGATATATGCTGCGTACGCATCTGTATACACGTCTAGGGGCCCGATCACACCACCGCGTGTAGCAATGTAAAAAATTGGGCACAGCCAGGGGCGGACTGACAACTCATGGGGCCCCCGGGCAATAGGGGATCATGGGGCCCCTGTGTCTTTGCTCAAACTCAAACCACACCCAAAAAAGCCTATAAAAAGGTACCTGGGGCATTTCATGGGCCCCCCGGGCAATAGGGGATCATGGGGCCCCTGTGTCTTTGCTCAAACTCAAACTACACCCAAAAAAAGCCTATAAAAAGGTACCAGGGGCATTTCATGGGGCCCCCGGGCAATAGGGGATCATGGGGCCCCTGTGTCTTTGCTCAAACTCAAACCACACCCAAAAAAGCCTATAAAAAGGTACCTGGGGCATTTCATGGGCCCCCCGGGCAATAGGGGATCATGGGGCCCCTGTGTCTTTGCTCAAACTCAAACCACACCCAAAAAAGCCTATAAAAAGGTACCTGGGGCATTTCATGGGGCCCCCGGGCAATAGGGGATCATGGGGCCCCTGTGTCTTTGCCCACACTCAAAGCACACCCAAAAAAGCCTATAAAAAGGTACCAGGGGCATTTCATGGGGCCCCCGGGCAATAGGGGATCATGGGGCCCCTGTGTCCTCGCCCACACTCAAAGCACACCCAAAAAAAAGCACACCCAAAAAAGCCTATAAAAAGGTACCAGGGGCATTTCATGGGGCCCCCGGGCAATAGGGGATCATGGGGCCCCTGTGTCTTTGCCCACACTCAAAGCACACCCAAAAAAGCCTATAAAAAGGTACCAGGGGCATTTCATGGGGCCCCCGGGCAATAGGGGATCATGGGGCCCCTGTGTCCTCGCCCACACTCAAAGCACACCCAAAAAAGCCTATAAAAAGGTACCTGGGGCATTTCATGGGGCCCCCGGGCAATAGGGGATCATGGGGCCCCTGTGTCTTTGCCCACACTCAAAGCACACCTAAAAAAGCCTATAAAAAGGTACCAGGGGCATTTCATGGGGCCCCCGGGCAATAGGGGATCATGGGGCCCCTGTGTCTTTGCCCACACTCAAAGCACACCCAAAAAAGCCTATAAAAAGGTACCAGGGGCATTTCATGGGGCCCCCGGGCAATAGGGGATCATGGGGCCCCTGTGTCCTCGCCCACACCCACACCCAAAAAAGCCAATGAAAGGTACCAGGGGCATCTCATGGGGCCCCCTACTGACCCCGGCCCCTCGGGCAGTGCCCGAGTGCTAGAGTGGTCAGTCCGCCCCTGGGCACAGCTGCGTCCAGGGGGGAGGGGTTGAAATTTAAAATTTTACTCCCATTACAAGTTGGAATTTTTGGTCAGAAAATGAACATGGGGGGTACCAATAATTCTGTCCGGTTCATTTTTGGGTGGAATGTGTCAGATTTAGCTTTTTTCTTTCTCCACTTTTCTCTGTCCTACCGATACAAACCAAAGAAATAAACACGAGAATGCCGAAACGTTTGTATTTGCACCAATTTTCTGGGCGTTGAATGGCGCTGCGCCAGTATTTTTTGGCCGCGACCGTATATCACGGGACATTTTCTTTTTCGACTTGAACTTGTCGAATCCATGCGTCTTTATTTATTTATTACAGGTACTTCTAGAGCGCCGTCAATTTTACGCAGCGCTTTACATATATATTGTAGGACTTCTCCAGAGCTTCCTCCATCCTCTGGAACTCTCTACCCCAATTTATCAGACTATCGCCTACTCTGCTCACTTTTAGGCGATCTCTGAAAAACGATCTTTTCAGGGAACCCTATCCTGCCCTCAGCTAGTAATGGAATCTTCTACTCCTCCTACCAGTCCATCCCCCACAGTTACTACCTTTTGTAACACCAGCCCCTCCCTCCTAGATTGTAAGCTCCAAGGATCAGGGCCCTCCTAACCCTCTTGTATTGAACTGTATTGTTGCTGTATTGTCTCCCGTTATATTGTAAAGTGCTGAGCAAACTGTTGGCGCCATAAATCCTGTATAATAATAACTGTACATTCACAGCAGTCCCCGCCCCCGAGGAGCGTACAATCTAAAGTCTCTAAGTTACATTCATACTTACACATACTAGGGGACAATTTAGACAGGGTCCAGTTAACCTGCCAGCATGAGATGCCCCTGGTACTTTTCATAGGCTTTTTTGGGTGTGGTTTGAGTGTGTGGATGAAACCCACACAGGCACAGGGAGAGCATACAAACTCCATGGTTGGGATTTGAACCAACGACCCCAGTACTGCCAGGCGGAAATGCTAACCATTTAGCCCCTGTGCTGCCTGCTAATACTTTTCCCTTTTTTTTTCTGTGAATGAGTAGGGGTCTTACCAGGGGTGGACTGACCATTGGGGTACTTGGGCACTGCCCTAGGGCCCAGGGTCAGTAGGGGGCCCCATGAGATGCTCCTTGTACCTTTCATAGGTTTTTTTGGGTGTGGTTTGAGTGTGGGTGACGACACAGGGGCCCCATGATCCTCTATTGCCCGGGGGCCCCATGAGTTGTCAGTCTGCCCCTGGGTCTTACATACCTCTTACTTATTCACCTAACAGGCAGGGATTTTAACTTTGGCCCAGGGGTGGACTGACCATTCAGGCACTGCCCGGGGGCCCGTGGTCAGTAGGGGGCCTCATGAGATGCCCTTGGTACCTTTCATAGGCTTTTTTGGGGTGGTTTGAGTGTGGGCGAGGACACAGGGGTCCCATGATCCCCTATTGCTGGGGGGCCCCATGAGTTGTCAGTCCGCACCTGGGTCTTACATACCTCTTACTTATTCACCTAACAGGCGGGGATTTTAACTTTGGCCCAGGGGTTGACTGACCATTCAGGCACTGCTCAGGGGCCCGTGGTCAGTAGGGGGCCCATGAGATGCTCCTGGTACCTTTCATAGGCTTTTTTGGGTGTGGTTTGAGTGTGGGCGAGGACACAGGGGCCCCATGATCCCCTATTGCCGGGGGGGCCCCATGAGTTTGCAGTCTGCCCCTGGGTCTTACTTATTCACCTAACAGGTGGGGATTGTAACTTGTGCCCACGGGCTGACTGACCATTCAGGCACTGCCCGGGGGCCCGTGGTCAGTAGGGGGCCCCATGAGATGCTCCTGGTACCTTTCATAGGCTT